ATGGACTGCAAAAGGACAGTATACTGCTAAACGTTAAAAAAACTTCTGAAATTTGAACATCTTTGTGGTTGAGCAACTTATTACGATAACCAAAAATGGGTAAAAACTGTTAGAGCCAAATCGAAATTGGCAACACTAGTTCATGTTATATAAAATGTCTACGTTGAGATAAAAAGTGAAGTAGAAGAAAAAAGGCTGCAATTGTTGGCCAAGTAATAAGTTCATCAAGTAGCAATGAACGATGCTCGCGTGAGGTTTCACGAAAGCTTTTGTTTGAGTATCGAAAAGGAATAGTTTTGTGATTAGACTGCTACCTGCATGAGAAAAAATGGGTAGCCTGTGATAAGTGGACAAGACCTATACTATAGATAGGTGCTGTTCAACTTTCTTACCAGATGAAAGAACCAGGTAGTTATCAGCCAATAAAAGTGAAAGAAAGTTTGTGTATCAGAAGCAATAAACCAAGAGACAAAAAATTTTACGCATTAGAATGATGTTATATTTTCTTCAGTCGTACTTGTTCATGAACCGGTACCACCTAAGTGCTAACGTTTTGCATACCTTGTAAATAAGTAGGACGTTTAAACTGATATTTAAAAGTGTGCACAAGATGTTTCTCCTTATCATCATCACGACTCAATTTGGAACTTAAATTTTACAGAAATTTCGCAACCAGCTAAACAATAACCTTCTAATGTGTGCTTTATTTTGCATTTTCCTTCATTAAGCGCTTTTTGAAGCATTTTGCAAAAAGTCACCCTGTGGAGTCATCCCATCTTCACCTTCGTCATCGATATAAATTTCTGCTGGCCAATCGCGAAGTGGTAATGGATTACTTGGAACGTGTTCCACTTCAAGTACCTGCAGATATAATCTGATCTAGGAGAACTGGACGCTTGAAATAACTGTACTATAGCAAACTTATTACCAAGAAGTTTTGAAGACCTACAAACCACTAAAATTCCTATTTGTTTTCTGCTTAGGGATAGACTAATGTTTTAAAAGAGAAGCACTTGGTATTAAAAAAAAAAAAAAAGTAAAAGAAGCAATGGAAAAACTTATTAATTTCTTTTTGGCTCTGCTATCGGCAGTTAAAAATTTGCTTTGTTATCTGTTATCTCCGATAACAAAATCGTCACTGAAAAATCAGTTGATTTTAATAGTTAAAATCCCCAAATTTTTTAGTAACCCTTCTGGCCATTTGTCACTTCTTACTCAAGTTCAGAAGAGACGTTCTTTACGTGAAAAATTTTGCTAGGCACATTTCTAAGAAAACTTAGACAACTTTTAAATCTTCTTCTAAACACTCATTCTTGTTGCTCCGGAAAACTTTTTATAGGTAGAAAGATAACATTTCTTACTTACAACGTCAACTTTTTAACGTCAAGCATTTATCTGTACCTTCGACATTGCGACAAAAGAATTCCCTAAAACAAATGTGCCCGTTAGCTTTTGCTTTAACCACTCTGTCTGGTCACCGTCTGGTCATCAAGAATGGCTAAAACATGGCTAAGTGAAAATAAAAAACCAAGTGAGCTGCTCGAGAAATTCACTTGAAACATTTGATTTTGTCAACCCGTTTTTGAAGGATGAGACCATTGATGAAGGAACGGGATACAACTCAAGTATATAGAACTAAACAAAAAACAGTAGTCAACCTTTTGCCAATGTATTCAGAAAAACTTATAAACTACCTTCCATCCACTTCATGTTTAACAGTCGAAAGGTACAGAAAAATTTCTTGAAGTTTTTAAAAAAGTATTCATCGTTCAAACCGTTAAAAGTGCTCAATCTTAA